CACCACCAACACGGCAGTACGATTTTTGCGCGACTGCGATATTCTGCAATATAAAATGGAAGCACCATGCCCATCAAACAACCCGAGCAAGGTGCTGGGCTGCTCTGCCCATCCACGGCTTGCGAAAAGTCTCGTTCCTTGACCTCCCAACAGACCCGAGGTTTATAGCAGCGGAACGTTTCGATCGTTCGACCTTTGGGTTATGAGCCCAACGTGCTTCCACTACACTACGCTGCTCGTGGCTAATATCAGAGTATAACAACTCAAGACGCATTCTCCCTCATCCATCTCCGTCACCGAACTCTTTTTCACCCACGCGTCGTCGTGGCGCCGCGTGCAGCTGCCGCACCAAAGCGCCAACGCCTGCACAGGGACGAACCAAGATGTGGGGTTTAGAGGAGTTGACTTTGAAACTGGAAAATCACAAGTCCCATGTGGCAAATCCATAACTACTTTTCTGTACTCAACTTGCGCGGAAGCAAAAAATGCGGGGGGTGCGGACTCCTTCAAGTCCGCTTTATTTATATTCACGGCGGGGCTCCCTGCATTGGTGCCGCTGAGGGTAAGGGAAACTTAACTTAAGTTAAGTTAACCTGTCACCAGGGGCAACCCAGCACGGATTCCGGCTTAGAGGCGCTCAGCTGTTACCCGACACATGGTAGCTTTGCAGCACTCGCCTTTTGGCAAACTGCAAAAACCAATTATGCAAACAAAAGGTTCCTCTTGTACTAAGTTCGATTACTGTGGCCCCTGACAAACAAAATACCCAATTACTGGTGATGTACCAGTCATCAGTAGGGTAAAACTTACCTGTCTCACGACGGTCTAAACCTAGCTCACATTCCCTATTGGTGGGTGAACAATCTGACACTTTACCACTTCTGCGTGGTAATGATAGGAAGAGTCGACATCGAAGGATCAAAAAGCAACGTCGCTATGAACGCTTGGCTGCCACAAGCCAGTTATCCCTGTGGTAACTTTTCTCACGAACAACTGTCTATTACATCGCGTAATAAATACTTTCATATGGCGTCCCACACACGGTTCCCCCCACACACATACGGTGCCCTATCCGCGGCAATGGCCGACTTTGGGATCACCAACGCCAACCTATCCGACTATACGAGCGTGGCCGTCGGCCGGGCCAGGGCCGACGAGGCCGACCGGCTCGACCGCATCCTGAACGTCCCCTTCGCCCGCCATGTAAGCAGCCTTCCGCGCCACGACCACCCCGGAATACCTCACAACCGTCCTCCGCCACAGCCTCTTTGACGACGCTATCGCCGCGACCCCCGCAGCCGTCCGCCAAGTCGTGCTCCTTGGCGCTGACCTCGACTCCCGCGCGTACCGCCTGCCACGCCTCGCCGGTTGCAATGCCTACGAGATCGAAGGCAGTCCGGCCATCGCCGCCCACAAGGCCAGGCGACTCGCTGGTGCGGAGCCGCTGACCGTCGCGTTCCACACCGTTGTCGCCGACGTCGCGGGCCTCGCCGACGCGTGGACCCGCGAGCTTGCCGCCCGCCGATTCGACGAGGGGCTGCCGACCCTGTGGGTAGCCGAGGGCCTGCTGCCGTACCTGACGCAATACGCCGAGGACCAGTTCCTCGCCGCCGTCGACCGCCTCTCGCCCGCCGGGAGCTGCATGCTCGCGGACGCCTGGGGCGGCGGCAGAAGCGACGCCGGCCGGTTCGAGCTAGACGCGCTCAAAGCGGTTCCCCGGCGCCGGCGCCGACCGCCGCCGATGCGCCCCCTGCGCCACCGCCGCGCGATTACTTTCGCGCGCTGGCGCACTGGCGGTCCGAGGCGCTGCTGCTGAGCGACGACAACGGCGAGTACGCTGGGTCAAAGTGGGATCCCGTCGCCTTCCGCCGGTTCAAACTTGGAGGGCGCTTTTGTTGTGCAGAAAGGGTGACGGCGGGCGAGACCATACACAAATAAATGGTACTTCCATTGGCTGCCGTCCGGCTGACGCACCCCCCGCGCAGCAGCGCTTACTCAGCTTCTTGCAACCAAAAAAAAAAAAAAAAAAAAAAAAAAAAAAAACAAAAAAAAAAACACATTGATGGATCGGCCCAGGCCACTGTTGGCTTTCGGGCTGTGTGAAAACCTCCCCTTGCACTGATTCCGTGAGTGACAAAGCTACTCCCACCTACTGTTAGTTTTGGGTCTTTTGGTGTAAGCAGTGTGCAGGAGCTTGACTTGATACTGCTCTGCAAGGATAACTTGCAGCATTTTGCAAGTGATGGTCCTTGTAACAGTTTTGTATAAAGACAAACACAAGACTGACAGAAGCCAAGATCAACCTCCCACCACCACCACCTTCAGTAGTGTACTACCTCCATGTCTCCACAGCAGCACAACCCATAGACAACCCAGCCCAACGAAATCTTTCACCTACAGCTGTTCAGCAGCGAGTAGAGTGTCAGCCCTCAATGGCAATCAGTCCCACTCACACGTGAAGAAAAGGGAGGGTAGGCCAGGTGCAAAAGAGGGAGGCAGGTTTATGTAAGGTCAGAGTGAAAAATCAGATCCCAATACAGAGACAGACCGTTAAGCAATGTTTACGCGACTACAGGTGTTCCCAGGTTTGAGTTACCCGCTGGTGACCTTCCGAATCTCTCACCCCTTGTCCCTGGCCGTGACAAGGGTTCTTCAGCTTTCTGCACGACAAGGGTTACTCTGCCTGTCCGGTAGCGCCCCTGGCACCATTCGTCCATTGTCGATGGCGACGACAATGGTTCTTCAGCGGCTGTTCAGCGAGGGTTGCTGGCCGCAACCTGTCTGTACCACAGCTTGGCTACTAACTCTTTTTTACTGTCGCTGGCAACGACGAGATTCTTCAGCGCCCATGCGGTGAGGGGCGCCAGCCACGCCCTGCCTGTCCCACCGCACCACCACTACTATCTGCCTCCGTTGTGTTTGAGGTTAGGTCCTACAAGATAAAACACCTGTTGCCCTTCTCACCCTTTATTCTGCGGTTGTGTTGCTCCCTTGGGAACACCCTTCCATCTCCTCTCACACCAGCCCACGGCCACAATAGTCATCAGCACTCCTGCTCGGATCCTCAGAGGATTGTCTCTGAACCTCCATTCTTTGTGTGGAGACCCCTGTTAGACAGATGAGTAGGGCTGAAACACCCCTAAGACAACAGCCCAATAAAGTTAGTTTTGGTCTGCTATTTGCTTTCCTTCACTCTCAGGCCCAGATCCCAGGGTCAAAGGAGTGAGTACAGTGTCACAAGTGTCGATCGTGCGGGTCATGGAGTTAGCGGTTGAAATGACATCACTGAAGATTAGAAACGGGCGTGACTGTGCCAGTGCTGCAAAGTCCTGCGCCGACGGACGCAGCATAAAAAATCGAAACGACCGACCGACCACCGCCAAAGCCAAAATCATATGTGCGGCCCCCGCTACCAGTTTTGCATCTTGTGCGGCACTGCGCTCGAGACCGCCCTCAGTGGTTCGCAGTTCCACACTGCCGCCAGAGGTGCGTTTGCTCGATGGGCTCGGTGGGAGGAGGTTCTGAACAAGCTCGCACTGACCACCACGCCCTGCAGCCCACCTCCTAGACGCGAGATGGACTCGGCCCGGTCGAGACGAAAGCAGTGGCTGCCTCTACCCTCTGTGCGTACCAGACCCTGAGGATCCGCTCGAGGCAGGCGAAGTTCCCGATTTTGATCCAGACGCCGCGACGGACTGCTGGTTCGCCATGGCAGCGGACCCATCGCCGCCGACAGTGGATGCCAGAGCAAGCACATTCTACAGCGACGACGAGGTGGAGGACGGCTTAGCGTTCGGATTCCCGTTCCACGCGGGCTGCGCAAAGTGGATCTGCTGCGCGCTGGCTCAGCGGGGCGTGTCGCTGGAGCAGCTGGTCGCGTACCTCGGCGAGACTGTCGCGGATCAGGAAGGCTCGTTTAAGTGGATGGGCGATCTTGAAGAATGCTGTCCCGATGGTGCGAGTATCCAAGAGATCCAGAACGAGTTCTATGGAGCCCTCTTTGGTTGGCAAGCCTACTGCTTTGCTCGCCCCGACACGATCTGGTGGCAGAAGGACTACGGCATTGATCCATATTTTCCGGATCTTCCATTGTGGAACGAAGTGGCCGCAAAAACTAAAAATCTTGGCGCCGACGACGTCTTCGAAATATCGAGCGATGGATTCAAGTTCCGACTGAGGCGAGGCACATACGAGGGTGGCATCGTGATCGTTCCCATCCCGTCAGTGGCGGTGCCGACTGATGGGACGACCGCCCAACTGCCCTCAACACCAGCGCCACCATCGGGCGAATTCCCACATCTTGCCTCCCCGCAAAACCTCCCTACCCTGGTGCTCTCAAAGATCCTCGACTGGCTCACAGCACCCACCAGGACCTCCAAGACCCACAATGACGACGACGGCGAGGACGGCGGCGAAGGCGACGCGGAACACGCTGAGGGGGACGACGACGATGACGAGGCAGCAAAAGTAGCCAAGTGGATGCGCAATCGCACGAGTTTCGCCGACGGGCGGAGTGCCCTCCCCCTGCTCTCAACAAATCGCGCATGGTATCATCATGGCCGTGCGACTGCGTGGCGGACGATTTCGAAACGCGACGGGTTCGCTCGCGTTCCAGGATTCGCCAGGGTGCGGGGTTCTCGCGTCAGGGACGCGGTGCGAGACTACGATGAGCGGGACGTTGACTGGAAGCGCGCGTACTTTTGCTACGAGAGCCGGAACGCGAGGAGGATAACGAGAAACGCAGAGTTTTTGGTGGGGAGGGCGGCTACGCGTAAGCATGTGCGGTGTGGCGTTCCAAAGACTGACTCAGAATGGGCGGAAATATGATTTTTCGTTCAGAAGCTTCTGATGATAGTCATCAAACGCGGGCAATCTTTTTGTGGCGAATTTTGCGCGACTTCTGCAATTGAAATGGCGGCACCATGCCTATCAAATAACTTAACCCATCCAACGCTTTCGAAGTTTTTCTTCCTCTCCCTTGCAAATAAATACGAAATTTACAGCAGCGGAATGTTTCGATCGTTCGATTTTTGAGTTATGAGGCCAACGAGCTTCCACTACACTACTCTGCTGGTTGCGTAGATCGGTATATAGCAAAATATAAAGTAAATTGCTCAATGCATTTCGAATTTTCCTCACCACCGAATTCTGACACCACCAAGCCACTGCCGAGCCAATGTGTGGGCAATTAGAGGATTTGATTTCCAAGCAGCGCCTCAGATCGCCAGTGCGCCAACGCGCGAAAGTAGTCCCGCGGCGGCGCGTCGGCGGCGGCGGCGGGGAAACCGCTTTGAGCGCGCCGAGCTCAAACTGGCCGGCGTCGCTGCTGCCGCCCCAGGCGTCCACAAGCATGCAGCTCCCGGCGGGTGTAGAGCGGTCGACGGCGGCGAGGAGCTGGTCCTCGGCGGCTTGCGTCAGGTACGGCAGCAGGCCCACGGTGACCTACAGGGTCCGGCAGCCCCTCTTCGAATACCTTCGGGAAACTTTTCGCCTTTGCTTATCTTCACCCAATATCACTTCATTGCCGCGGGTGCAAAGATCTTCAAGGAGCTGTCGAACCATCAATTGCAGCTGACTGCAGCCATCTGGGCGCGAAGAGTCGGCCTTATTCTACATGGCCCCCTCTCCCCTCCGCGCCCGTCAACCCAGCAACTGCCCGCCTCAACCATCGCCGTCGTTGTGCAAGGACTGGAGGTTGCGGCAAAAACGGAAACCCTGCCAGGGGCCATTTGTTGTCGGCGCCGTGCTACATGAGAAACGGGGAGACGAAAGCGGGACGCGCGAAGCATATCGTTCCCAGTGCTCACGGCCGCTGACTCAAGTATGATTGTTCCAGCACCAGTCGAGAACGGCGATGCGAAACTTGGTCGCCGCGGCCTAGCTGTCCCGAAAGTCACGGCCGCGAGCGCGTTGACGCTTCCACCCCTCCAGCACGTTTTGATGTGGTCGGCGGCATGAAGCCCCAGCGCATATAGCTGTGGGCCCGGCTCGGCGTGAACACGCGAGCGCGAGTACAGCCATCCGAGCAGGCGCGATATGCGCCGCATGGGCTCGCGATGTTCCAGTATAGCTCTCAAATCGAACGATTCAATGGCGCCAATGGCAGCAGTGGTTGGTGCACCAGTCCACAACGGCGATGTTACCGGGCGAGTGGCCGCCTGGAAGATCGGCAGCGTTCTGGCCAACATCGGAACGAGCCATGGCGCCATCTTCCACCAATGTGGGTTGATCGTAGATGCAGCCCGCGATCTCTACTGCCAGAGGTCGAGGGACAACCACACCATGAAAAATGCAACCCTTGCATATTGAACGCTTGGCATTTCAGGGCGTGGGCAGCTTTACTCGCGTGGAAAGGAGGTCCTTTGTGCTGAACAAACCAGTTGACGAGATCTTTATTGCTTTTCCCAGATTTATTTCGTTTGGGGTGAGGGTTTAGCGCTTTTAAATGAGGAGATGTAATGTGAAGGGACTGGTAGGGTAGGCAGTCGCAATGACGCTAGTTGTAAACGAGTTTATGATTTAGTTTGTTTTACATATAAAGGTTAGAACTAACGCCAGATCCTTTGTCAACCGTCGCCAACTGGGATTACCTTCAGTATGGGCTCGCGGCGTCTTTGTCCGTTGCATCGAAGAGTGAGCCGCCAGGGCCAGGCAGACGAGAAGACGCTTGGTTCACTAACCGTCACTGTCCAAAAGGTCAGCTTTCCGACTCGTCAAAAAGATAGGTTTTCGTCGGAAGCACACGCCGCAAACAGTGACGCAATGTTCCACTTTGCCTCGGCACGAACTCGAGCTCGAACCCGGCCTGCGTAACCAATAAACTGCCCGGTAGCATGTTGCATTTCTTCTCGCTTCGGTTGCGGTTGCGCTTCCCCCTCGACAACCGTGGAAGAGCCCTTGGCACACACACACACACACACACACACACACACCCTTGTCAGTTTAGGCTTTTGCTTTGTAATTCCTTTGCTTGTTTGTTTGTTTGTTCGTTCGACGCGGATGTGGTGGTGGAGGCTCGACAATCCGTCTCCCGTGTGTGCGTGTGTGTTGCGGGGAGAACTATAAATTATAATGACAACAACAACAACAACAACAACAACAACAACAACAACAACAACAACAACAGATCGACCAAACACAACATCACACAGTGACACGGACACCTCCTCACACGCGCTTCTCCCGCTCTACTCTCCCTCTACTCTCCATCTACTTTCCCTCTCAACGCAATGACCTCCACAACTGCCACCAGCGAAAGCAGCGAAACGCCCGTCATAGTGGTCGCCGGCTATGGCCCCGGCATCAGCCGAACCGTCGCCCTGCGGCTCGCAAAGGACAAGGGCCTCGCCGTGGCGCTGCTGGCGCGAACTGAGTCCAGGCTGCGGGACGCCGAGAAAGGTGTGTGTGTGTGTGTGTGTGTGTTTGGTTGCTTTCGTACGAGTCGAGCATATGCCAGTCGAATGACTTTGACTGACCCCCGTCAAACCAACCCCCCGCGCCCAGAGTTTGCCGCCGAGGGCATCACCGCCAAGGGCTTTCCCGTCGACTTTGGCGACGTCGACGCGACCCGCCGCGCGATCGAATCCGTCCGCACCATGCTCGGGCCGATCCACATCCTTTTCTGGAACGTCGCCTCCACCACCCACGCCACCTTGCTGCTCGACCCCTCCTCCATCTCCGCCCTCAACTTCTCCTTCGCCTCCAACGTCGGCTCCCTCGTTTCCGCCGTCCAAGCCTCCCTCCCGGACCTCACCTCCGCCCGCGGCGCGGTCCTGGTCACCGGCGGCGGTATGGAGCTCGACGCCGTGGAGAGAGCGCAGTCGGCCGTCGCCTGGCGGTTTTCGAGCCTGGCGCCGATGCTGGCGGCCAAGCGCAAGACGGTGCAGGTGCTGCACGAGGAGCTGCGCGCCGTCGGCGTGTACGCGGGCAGCGTGACCGTCATGGGCCCCGTGAAGGGCACCGGGTTCGATGACGGCTCCGGGAGGGCCAAAATCGAGCTGTCGGCTGTCGCGGACAAGTTTGCCGCTCTGCTCGAGGCGAGAGCGGGTGCGTTCGACTCGGTCGCGTGATGTGGTGGCTGTTTCTCGTCGATATCGACGACCGATGATACATCTTTCAAAAAAGGAATAAAAGCAATTCCCTTGTCCAACGCTGCATTCAACCATTTGATTACTCGTACTTTGTCTTATTGTGAAATGCGCAATTTGGATGCCCTACAAGCAACTCAACAAAGTCATTATAGTAAACCTGTCCGTCCACATCAATCTTCGCGTCCTTCAGGATCTCATCGGCCTCATCGTCCGTAATCCCTTCGCCAAGGTTCTTGCAAACTTGGCGGATCTCAAGGGACCCGCCTCCTTCGCCCAAGTCGAAAAACCGGCAGCAAGTTCTGATTTCCGAGTACTGTTGGGAGATGACAACGACGATGACACAGGTCCAGTGGGTGGCTCAGTCTCGAAACTCCAATAAGCCGTATTAGGTGTCCGAGCCAAACACCCTGCACTGTCCACACGGACAAGCTCCCAGCCACCCAAAGGCGTTTGCGAGTGGGCGCAGATTGCGGCGGTGCGCCCGATGGGGAACTGCTTCCCCATGCAAAACCCAACATATTGAAAGACTACTGTGGTGGATGCCGCCGCAGTCAGTCAGTCAGTGGCTTTTCATCATTTGTGGGTAAAGAAGGATTTAGGCCTCAGCCAGCGGTAGTGTGAGGCCAGCGAGACCAGTGCCCGGGCCGCGACAGCAAGCTGCCAGACGGCGACCAGAGTGGGCTTTCAAAAATAACTGTGATAATAGATACGCCGGCTATGCCGGCGGTTAAAGTTATCACACTTTAAAGAACAGATACTACACTTGATCTTAGCCAATAGGCCAGAGAGGATTGTGGAGAACAAGTGATGGGGGCGATGGGGGTATTTATACGGTGCGCTGGTGCGACTGCGGGCAGGAGGGATCAGTCCACGACGCCGCAACAGACCACTACCAGCAGCAACGCCCGCAGGCCCTCCCTACCCGTCAGCGCCGTCGAGAAGATGGCCAAATACCTCTACTTCAATCAGCCCTTCCAATTCGCCACCCCCTTCGCATCACCATGCTGCACGTACCACGACAACCTCCACCAGGACCTGGACGCGGCAAGCAAAACAAAAAAAAAAACTACTGGCAGCTGGTCGATCTCCTCTGTTGCTTTTCTGCCAGGCCAGCGGCCTCCCGCCCCGCTACACGGAGAACGCGATCAGCTACCCTTGCTGTAACGGCAACATCGGCATCCTGCGCTAGTGGCTGAAAACGTCGAGAAACAGCTGGAGAAGTGGATTTCAAAGGCGCTGCTCCGCTACAAGTGTTTGCGGCCACGTGAGCGTTCTGGATTGGTTCAGGAACGAGAGCGGACTCTTCCCTCCTCGAGTACAACGAGAACCCCCTGTCGATGTAGCGAGCGATTTCGGACATGTTGTGGTTCTGCAGTGAGTCGACCTGGAATTGAAGTACAACCGATGACGCGAATCGGGTTGATAACCCGCACAGTTGTGTTCGGCAGTGGTGGAAGAACAGCGGCCTCAAACCGCGGCGGCCAGCCGAAAACGCCGCGTCCACGGCGATTTTTGCGGAGGCAGGAACGCACGACGGCGGTGGCGTAGACAACGCAGATGTCTGCGGGGACGACGTTGGGGTGCGTGCAGAAGCGAGCGCGGGACATGTTGGAGCGCAGGTGCGCGGTAATGTGGAGCTTGAGGGTTTCGGATTGCCCGGTGAGGGAAAACGGAGGGACGGGCGGAGGGTGGGGATGCGGATGATGACGGTGTCAAGCGTGCTATCAGCTGCGTCGCGCACGCAGTCAGCCCGCCTTGGACTCACAATGTTTAAATGGAACAATGATGGTCCAGCATCTCTCAAAGCAGCACACAGCGACGGCTCGTCGCTGGAATTGAAGGTCGGGCTACACATTGCCGCACATCGGTAACTCCGACGTTCTGCATTGCGGGACACTCGATGTATCGAGTCGAACCCATGCGTTGCGTTGCATCATTCGGAAGCCATATAGATGGGGTCTCCATTAATCCATGATTGACAG